CAGGCATTCCCTCACCTCATTTCTTTCTTATGTGAGCCTGCAATGGGGGGACACAACAAAAATGAATACCTGGTTACATGGAGATCAGACGTATCTCTGATATATGAGGTACAAGGGGCTGTGTGGTCACAAAGATCTGTGTTTAGAGGGGCAGCGCAATCAAAGTCCACAGGGGCATGCAACGTAGATTGTAAGAGTACCAAAAAATTGCCTTCTAAAATCAGGTCAAAAGGTTGTGCTGTCCTGCTTCCTATTTCAAAAGGGAGAAGGGATTACTGCAGAGGGTCAAGTTTGAAGGACCTATGCTCTACAAAACCCTCAGCATGACACTGGGAGGAACTATGGTGTCAACCATGGCCAAAGTTGGGTGGGCTGATGTCTCTGGAGGGTCAACACTGCAGTGCACACTCTGATCTGTGGTGACACCAGAAGTGGCAGTATGACCACCATTTTATTGTGTTGCCACCAGTACAACCCATAGGAACTCTGGCCTAGGTAGGGACTATGGTTTATTGCCCTTTACATCATGATAATTAATATAAATGGTAAGGCACATTGGTTAGGGCAGGGGTGGACAAATTAAATGCAAGTGAGGTGCCAGGCTGTCCAATCCAGAAGCCACCGGGATATTTTTTTAGGAGCCAGCTCCATTGACAACAACTAGAGAGAACCTCAAAAGTAATGTAGCTGTAATTTTTAGGGAACATGGACTACCTGGCTTCTGGGATTCGTCCAGTCCTGGGGTAGAGGTAAGCAATGCTACAGATGACAAAAATAATTGCCTTGACTTCCACTTTAAGGGTGATGAAAGTATGGAAATGTGTTGCAGAAGGACAAGAAGGATGTAGTGAAAGGAATAAGACTTGGGTAAAGCACAGATAGAGATGCATGGACCCTGGATGGAGGTGAGGCACATGGGAGTCCAGGAGAGGTGTCAGAGAAGAGGCTTGATGATTAGAGAAGAACTTAGGACATCAAAAAGAGTCAGAGGCTCAGCTATAGGAACCTAATAATAAAAAAGAGGCTGAAATGTCACTGATCTACAACAGTAATGGAGGCTGTGGATTGGGCAGAAGCTGGATACAGAGATATACAATGGAAACTGAGATATGATACAAGGATGGTGGATACAATAGACAGAGCCTGCTAATGGACGAGAAGAAAGAATGAGCATGGATGCCTAGGGAAGAGAAGAGATTGAAATGGTGACAATGGAGGGGAACATGGTAAAGACATGGGTTGGTTAGATCTAAGACTGACACCAAGAGCATACGGTGGAAAAAGAAAGAAGTGAGGCCAATGGATTCAAGGTGGTTAAATAAATCAAATCAGAATTAGGGAAGGGGGACAGAACCCAATGAACAAGTACCTACAAATGTTTTTCCTAAAGATGACTACGCCAAGCCATTCCACCCCCATTACCCTACACTGAAATATGTACCAATAAAGCCGATCTGCTGGCGAATATAGAATACATATGAATGCAGCTCCGTATTCAATAATACATCATTTCTTTTGAAGTACAAGCAGTGTAAGTACCTAAATTTGGCTGAGTGTGGTCCCTGTACACCAGAGCTCAGACTGGGAAAGAGAGAAGCAGCACAAGGAGCCAGTGGTGCTTCAGTGCTCATGTACTAAGTAGGAACATGCTGATAGTTGGACTGAGCTGACCTAATCAATCTGCTGCTTCTCGTTTCAATGTCCAGTCATATGTTGGTGGTGGTGGTGGTGGTGGGTATACAAGGCCTGTAATTGTTACCAGACTGCAGCAGAGACAAATCAGGTCTCCTTTCCTGCCAGACACAGGAATGGACTGCACAGCAAAGCAGCTCCCTTCTATACATTTCGTATGTGTATTTAGCTGTTTGCCTGGAGTTCTGCTTTATCGCCATCCATAGTCTGATATTTGATTAACTGGCACTGGGGTTTATCCAATGACAACCTAACATATGAAAACCTGCATTAGGCGGCAAGAAGAAAATGGCGCTCATATGGACATACCTAGAAGTATCACACACATTACAAACATCAACTGTACATCAGTAACATATTCAACCCAACAGATCATTCTCCGACCATCAGAGAAGCACATGATGGGCATCAAATTCAGGGGAGGACTGGGAAAGTTTGGCCTGGGAGGCAACAACTGGTGGAGTTAGGTGTAGGATTAATGTGCACCGCACAATGTGTGCCGCAGTACCACAGTGATTGGTGGCCATGGGGAAAGGCGGCTGTTTGTGACCACGGTTTGTAACACACCTTTCCACACACTATTCTATAAAAGGGGGACTGTAAAGGATGAATTGTGAGGGAAGAAATAGTTCTGAGCCGGACAAGATGACAGCTGCTCTGTGAAAATGATATGGACTAACCGCAATAGAATGGTAAATAAGACACCGGGCCCTCATCATCACATCTAATCCTTATCACTGAGCTTCCTTTAACAAATGAGCCCAACACATGTCACAGTTTTGCATTCTTCCAGCATTGCCTTCCATTGCAGCTCCCTGCATTCAGACAGTCAGTGCTGGAGGACTTCTATTTGCCAGGACACAAGTCTACAATAGGTAGTTATATAACGCCCAGCAGCTGTCATTGACTGCGGGTCCCTCGCTGATTGGGGTCCAAAGGGCCACTGTCATAAAGATGGCCATACAATGGCTGTCTTTTCTTCTTCTGGGAGTTGAATGAGAAAAAAATGCTTGATTTTCCTATCAATGCTAAATGCCGGATTCCCCCATCCACACTAAACACTCGATACCCTCATCCACACTAAACGCTCGATACCCTCATCCACACTAAACGCTCGATTTCCCCATCCACACTAAACACTCGATACCCTCATCCACACACGCTAAACGCTTGATTTCTCCATCCACACTAAACCTTGGATTCCCCCATCAACACTAAACCCTGGATTCCCCTATCCACACTAAATAATAGATTCCCCCATCCACGCTAAACCCTGGATTCCCCCATCCACGCTAAACCCTGGATTCCCCCATCCACGCTAAACCCTGGATTCCCCCATCCGCGCTACACCCTGGATTCCCCCATCCGCGCTACACCCTGGATTCCCCCATCCGCGCTACACCCTGGATTCCCCCATCCACACTAAACCCTGGATTCCCCCATCCACACTAAACCCTGGATTCCACCCATCGACGCTGAACACTAGATTCCCCCCATCTACGCTACACGCTCGATTCCCCCATCCACGCTACACGCTCGATTCCCCCATCCACGCTACACGCTCGATTGCCCCATCCACGCTAAACACTCGGTTTCTCCATCCACGCTAAACACTCGGTTTCTCCATCCACGCTAAACACTCGGTTTCTCCATCCACGCTAAACACTCGGTTTCTCCATCCATGCTAAATGCTTGATTGCCCCGTCCTTTGGTTCCCTTCACTGAAGTGAAGAACAAGTTCGCCTCAGCTGATCCAACATCTGGATCGGCTGAGGCAAGCGTTGACAGTGCTGCAGCCACTGTTTGTCTGAATATTTTCGAACTGGCTTTATAGACAAAAATCGGCTTTTGACAAATGAGAGGGCCACACACTGGTCAGACAAAATTCGAGCAGTGTATGGCCAGCTCGCCATGTGTGATTATCTCTGGGGAAGGGGAACCCCCTGAGGGTGGGGGTGCCAATCAGCCCAGTCCTCCCCTTGGAAAAACTCCTGATGCTGTGAGACAAAAAAAGGAGATTTCCTCTCTCCAGAAATGTATACACTGCATTACAGAATACCCCCCACATGCAGATCATGGAAAAGAATGTCATCATTGTGACCCAACAGGAAGCAGTGTCACAATTATTTGGCAGTTTGACATTTGACGAGACAACAACAGGTTTTGCTTTTTTCTTCTGTTTCAGACAGAATCACATTACAGACAACAAGCCGGTCCATTGTATATTACAACACTGTGTCACTTCGAGTGTCCTTTGGCAAGTTTCTTTGTAGCACCAAACGTTTTTGTGACGTCACATCGCAGGGAACAGCTGATGCATTTTAGATCACGGAGAGGATAACTGTTGTGTGGTTTTGTTAAAAAAATAACAGACAAGTAAAAAAAAATCTTCTCAAGGATATTTGTTAGTGATACATTATGAATTCCACTAAGAATGTTGTCTACACTCCAAGATATTCTAATACCTGCTCTTATTTAGGCACAATAGGATATGCTTTTTTTTATATCTGAGAGATCAATTTATAAACAATTCGCAGGGCCATTTGCTCTGCAAGTATCTGTGAACATTCACCCAGTGCCAATATACGCACAAACAACCGTTCTTTACATTTTTTCCATTCCAAGTATAATTAAATGTGAATGTTTTCATTGTAACATCACACTATGGCCACTAGATGATGCTGAGGAGCTTATTTCCTATGGTCCTTTGGCGCCATCTAGTGGCCATAATGAGATATTACCATCAGAACATTCAAACATTATTTAGATCTGATTAAATCCAAAGAACGTTTCTTTGTGCATACAGTATATTCGCACAGGGTGAATGTCCACAGATATTTTTAGGGTGAATTGTTTATAAATCAACACCTTATCGTGACCAAAATAAAGTAGATATTTGAAGGACATCTTGGCGTCCGAATAACATCCTTACTTGTATCTGCAGAATAGTTCCATCTGTCTCTTTTGCTCTAGCACCAAATAGGTCTATCACAGCAAGGAGAATCTTCTCTCCCTAGAATATGGAGTCCATGAGGAAATGGGTGTTCTAATCGGGCCCGTTCCGTGTCACCCCTTGCTCGGAGAATATTTTCTTCAACTGGGCCACCTCTGCCGAAAGCGAGGCAAGCTGGGATCGCAAGTCGTTGCTGTCTGTGGCTTGCGCCGCTATCCCATCTTGCCCCTGACCGTTCCACCGCCCCCGCTGACAGTGCATTGGCTGCTGGGCAAATCCCGGGGCCACTTCTGGAGCGTAACCATTTATTTCTCTCGCCATGGGAGCTGCAGGATGAGGCCCATCCTCCCCCGGAGCACAGGACTTAAACCGCAACTTATGTGGAAGGCTCCTGAAAGCATCAGGAAGAGTGTCCAGCCTCCTTTGAGGAATCTCCACAGTCTCTCCTCCAACAGCGCCGTAATAATTTATACTCGTAGGCTGCAGGGGTTGCGGTTCTGGTTCGGGGACCCGGTCCTCGAAGAAAACGGGGCTTCCAACACTAGGCGTAGAAAAGCCAGAGTCTTCTGAATGCGGCATGGGCGGAGGAGGGTTAGGAGGAGGAGGCTCGTGGAGGTTGCATGGTGGGACATAAGCTCCTCGAGCCTCCTCGCACGGATCGCGTACCAGGCCAAAGCGGAAACGGAGGGCAAGGAGTTCAGCCCGCAACCTCGCGTTCTCCTCAAGCAGCGCAATGACCCGCCCCTCCAGGGCTAGATCTCCAGCGCGCCGCTTCTCCCGCGAACGCTTGGCGGCCTCGTTGTTCTTGCGCCTTTTATCCCAGTAGTTGTCGTCTTTACTCTCATCCGGCGTAAATTCACGGCGCCTCCGAAGGTTGGATGAAGAAGGCGAAGAGCTGGGCGAGGAAGAAGAACTTCGGCGACCAAGGAGGGAACGGGCAAGGAGGAGGCCAGAGCCGGACAGAAGAGATCCGGCGGAGCTGGAGTCGTCAACCTGCTGATTCTGCGGGGTAGGGCCATAGGGCTCAAGGGTAGGAGGAGCCTGGTGAGGAGACAGGTCCTCCGAGGTGGAACAAAGCACAGGCCCGTTCATGTTCGGGTGGGGGGAGAGGGCCGGAGGGGAGAGGTCACTGAGCTGCGCCAGGATTGTTTGCGTCTGGAGGTCAGATGAGGACAACTGTTCTGAGAAAAACAAAAGAGGAAATTAGTCATTTGCTGATATTGCAGGCAACACTGATGGGCATTGTTCTGCTTCTGTTCAGGGGATGATGTTAAAATGAAACACATGTAATAGTAAAATATCAGACGCCAATTTACCGAAATACTTGATATGCAACACAAATATAGAAGTGGAAAAAAAAATATCCCAAAAACCGAACGGTTCAGTCATTTAAAGTGATTTTCCAAAATGTTACATATAAATTAGTGACTTGTAGTCAGTGTCCCCGGAGAGCAAATGTCACCACTGATAACAGTGAGCGAGCAAATACGGGACACCACTCAAGTACTATTTCTGTGCATCCGACACACACACACACACACACACACACACACACACACTGGATGCTACCTGCTTAAAGAGCTTCTCCCCTTCCCAGGAACTGATTATTTCCTTATATGCAAATCCTCCTCCGTGCTGCACTACAGAAGCTGTCTGCCATGTCAGTTCCTATGACAGATTCCCAAAGTCAGTCCCACAGGTGCCCAAAGTCAGCCCCACAAATGCCCATAGTCAATACAACAGATGCCCATAGTCAGTCCCACAGATGCCCATAGTCAGCCCCACGGATGTCCATAGTCCATTTCCCCAGGACCAACCCATTGCAGTTAGCACACAACACATAAACACATATACATATACACAAACTTAGAGAGTTTCTTCCCTTCCTAGGAACTGATTATTTACATATATGGAAATCCTCCTCCGAGGCTGCCTGCCATGTAAGTTCGTATGACAGATGCCCATAATCAGTGCCACAGGTGCTCATAGTCAATCCCAGACATGCCCATAGTCAATCCCAGACATGCCCATAGTCAATCCCAGACATGCCCATAGTCAATCCCAGACATGCCCATAGTCAATCCCACACATGCCAATAGTCAATCCCACACATGCCAATAGTCAATCCCACACATGCCCATAGTAAATTTCACACATGCCCAGAATCAATCCCACAGGGGCCCATAGTCAATCCCACAAGTACCCATAGTCAATCCCACAGGTGCCCATAATCATCCCCACACATGCCCATAGTCAATCCCACAGGAGCCCATAGTCAATCCCACAGGAGCCCATAGTCAATCCAACAGGGGCCCATAGCCAATTCTACAGATGCCTATAGTCAATCCCACAGATGCCCATAGTCAATCCCACAGATGCCCATAGTCAATTTCCCCAACCCATTGCAGTAAGCACCAAATAATGCCGAAACAATTTTTTAGTTCCGGTTAGAATTCTAAGCTTTAAAACTTCTGACGGGTTTTTGAAGTTTTCTGGTACGCCACTAGGGGGCTTTCCCCTCATTTCCTGTTGTGTCACCAGTACAGGAAGTGAAGAGAGTCTTTCCCCACGCTGACACAGACAGCAGTAAAACCTGGCGGGTGACCTTCCTAACCTTCCCCACTGTGCTAAATGTAAGTGGCTACATTCTTGTCCTTAACTGTCTGGCCTGTCTGCGGACAGGGCATTGCATAAGCACAATGTCAATACAAGATTAGCTATTGTTGAAAAACACTTCTTCCTCCTGTAAACATGTCATGTCTCCAATAGTTTCATGTATGTTATTACATTCAGCCCAAAATGTCATTTTCACACAACCAAGACAGAGAATTGTGAAGCCTCTGCGGGTGGGGGCAATACACTATATATAGACTGCATATAGAACAAATGTCCCCAGCCATCAGTCCTTATGGCAACTCGACCCGAAATAAGAGTTGTATACCTCTGTAAC